CCAGCGCCCGCGTCCGCGCCGCCGGCCCCGCTCCCTCCTGCCCGCCGCGGCGGAGCCGGACGCCGAGCTGGAGCTGGGGCAGGGGCAGGAGCCTGACCTGGAGCTGGACCTCGACCTCGACCTGGAGCAGGAGCACGAGCGGGCTTGGCGCGACTTCCAGCTGCGACTTGGGGCTGAGGCCAGATACATCCCCCGGTGAGAGCCCGGCGCTGCGCGGCGTCCTCCTGCCCGGCGGTCACGGCAGTGTCACTTGTGTGTGTGTGGGGGGAACCCCCAGCCATGTATGCGTATCTGTGGGGAGTCCCCAGCCGTGTGTGTGTGTGTGTGTGTGTAGGGAACCCCCGGCTGTGGGGGTGTGTAGGGAGCCCCCAGCCGATAAGTGCTTAAACTGCTTATCCGGGCACTGGCCCCCTTTCCCTCTGCTTGTGGTCCTCTCCCTGCTTGTTTGGGGTCTCCCCCCTTCCATCCCTTGCCAGCCTCTTGGGGGTGTCTGCCACAGCGTTTAGGAACATTGAGAGCTCCCTGGGTGGCTGCTGGGCACAAGGTGCAGGGGGAGAGGGGCTTTTTGGCATGCCACGCTATGCCAAAAAGTTGTGAGTCCTCTCTTAGTAAAGCGGGGGGGGGGGCACTAAGGGCACCTCTGTGATGGCGTGGGACAAATGAAATGTCAAGTGGAGATGTAAAGCGAGTGCACTTGGGGAGGGTGCCGAGCAGATCATGTCAAACAGCATCCATTGGTCCTCTAATGAGTCTGAGGAGCTGATGGGCAGTGCATCTCTGCCCAGAGACACAAACAGATCAGGGACAGAAGAATGGCTCCGCAGTCCCGGAGGGGAGGGAGATGCTTTGGGGAAAGGGGCTGTGAGCTGGACTGGACTCAGGGTGACATTCACTTGGCAACAGCTGGCTGTACTGGATATGCTACTCTGCCTGTTCTTTTCAGGCATCCAGTGCAGCGAGTCGGAGTTCATCAAAGCATGTGCTCTCCCTATAGCTTTTTTAGTTGGTCTGTAAGGTGCAGATCTCCCCTGCCTACTGCCTGACTTGAGACAAAACCAGCTAACTGCCTCTCTCTGGTGTTACCCACCTGGGTTAGTCAGTGGGGAGGGCAGTGCCCTATGCCCCCAAGCAGGGGGAACGAGCCAGGTTTGCTCTAATAAACGGCAAAGCTGGAGAGAAATCTCAGTCTGTAGCCTACTCTCCCTTGTGGAAAGACCTGCAACTTCTGCAGATGAGGCTATGGCTCAAGGATTGGAAGTCACCTCAAGACATATTGGTGAGCTGTGGTGGAGATCATCCTTGAATCAAGGGACTGACTGTGACAAATGGGCTGCATCTTGGTTGTTACAGTTCCTGGGGCCACTTTTTCTCAGTCAGGGACCAAAAATTCATGTGTGTGTGTAAGGCATGGGAAAGGGTGTTGTGTGCCAGCTCCCTTTTTTAGGCATGTAGACATTTTTCAAAGTGTGTTGAAACTGGTGGAAGTTTTTACTGCCTTGAATGGGTTTTGGATCAGCCCTGCTGTCTTGCCACTTGTGGAGTTCCCCTAGCAAAAGGAAGCTGTTCTGGCTTGATTCCACCCACGTAAATATCTTTTCTAAGAGCAGCAGAGTACCTGATGTCATGCCAAACAGATCAACAGATAGGGCGGTAGGGGGAAGTTGTGTGAAAATAGACACGTCAAATTTTATTCCTTAAAAAAAAAAAAGTTACAGCTTTTTTTTTCCTCTCAGGTGCAGCCATTGCCCCCGAGTCTCCTTGCTTCTGTTTTACAGCTTTCAAAATGCTTTTTTCTCCTCTGCTGCTGTCAGGAAGACCTGAACCTAAGGAAGTGACTGATTAGGCAAAGTGTTCAAATTCACAAATCCTGTTCAGGGAAAGTGTTATCAGGACTTAAACTTCCAGAGGTGACTCTGTCCTTTAAAATGCTGTAACTAGGCAATGAGAGTATAATTAACTAATCTTGTAGTGCACTCCCTGTGCTGTGATTTCCAGCTCAGATTCTACAACATGGCAAAAATTCTCCCACTTCTTCTATTACTGTTTGACTCTCCTGTTTAGGGTCCTAGTCCTGCCCCCACCTCCCGTAATGTGAATGGATACCGAACAGGTGACTTCAGTGAGAGCAGGTTTAGTCCTGAATGTGGACAGCTGGCAAGCAGTAGCTGGTTTCAAAATGAAAATAATCAAAAACTGTAAAGCTGTTTCTTTTTACTTGTAGGATTCAGAGAGGGCCTTTTATCTCTCTCATTCTTGACTTCATGATTTTTTTTCAACTGAAATGTGTAATAGTGTCATAAAACAGAAGTTTATGACATAGGTGGTTTTTTTGAACATTTTTTTTTTATTCAGAGGGAAGGCTTTGTATGGAAGATATTTTGACCTATCCTAGTCACAGTTTCATACTAAGCATGAAAAGTAAACAGTCTGGCTTGCTTGTTAAGGGTCCCGGTCCTATAGGTACACCTATGGTTATCTTTATTCACAAGTATGGTAGCTTAACTGGACTGCTTCCATTTTTAAAAGTGGAGTCCAGAATATTTTTAAAACTGATGCCTTATGTGAAAGTGTGGAGGGAAGAAATGAGTAAGTTTTATAAGAGTACAAATGCAAAACTTTCTGGTAATAATAATACAAGTTTTACACTTGCACAAAATAGTACAAAATGTCAATGTGTTTCCAGATCATCGCATCTTTCATTTTAGACAAATGTATTAATCATATGTAAACAGCTTGGGGCTTAATATTGGAGCACCCTTCCCCCCTTCCCCCCAATAAAAAATGACTCTGAACTCCTTTGGAGATTTGAATCAACTACATATTTAAGTTAGGTTTAAAGGTTTTAATATTAATAAAACAGGACAAATATACAACTGTTATGTTAGACCAGGGTTTTTTTGCCTTAGTAAAAATGTATAGTCATTTTAAGGACCTGATTTTGCAGAGTCCTGTGTGAGTTTGAGTTTAAACATATGAATGACTTAATGTAATTCAGAGGAGTGGCTTGTGAAGAATTAAGTACGTGTATAAGCCTTTGCAGGATTGGGATCTCAAGTGCTACTTTAAATGCACTAACCCAAATAGCAATCAAAAGGTGTATTCTTCATATATTGTGATAAATTATTGTCACATAAACAGATACATTTTTTTCTTTCCAGAACCTGAGTTTGAGGTTCTTTGTTTCTCTTGTAGTCCAACTTCCTAATGTATTCCTTTAGGTCTCAGTCCTGAAAGTTGATGTACTTAATTGTCCCCTTCACTCACATGAAGTGCCCCTCACCATTCAGTGGGGTTCTGTGTGGTTGCAGGTGTCCATGTGATACTCATATGACTCATAGGATAGGATATGGTTTGAAAATGTTGTCCTTAAAGAGTGCAGAGAGCTTGTCAGTAACAGCAGGGGAAAAACTAAGAGGCTGGCAGCTTGAGAGGCTTTAAAATACTATAGTTTTATTGCATATATTTTTGTAAATGTACATACATAGTGGGTTTATTATAATGTGGTTACTGTAAAATTTATTTTAAAGCATTTCAATCTGCCACTTACTTTCTAACAACCAAATCTAATGGAGAGTTAGTTTGTTATGGGCAAGTTGGCAAATTCAGCGTCTTACTTTTTTTTCTCTCTCTCTCTCACAAATAAAAAAAACAAGGTGAAGAAGTTCTTTGTCTACAGCAATATCATGAGCTAAAATAAATGGTGTGCCTAAAGTTATTAAAAGAAAAGCCCCACATCCACACACAGAGACTGACTGTTCTTGCTATTTGTACTGAAAGGGTGAATTAAATCACTTAGTTTTATCCTGAATTTGACAATAATTGCCACTTTTTGGCCTGGACAGTTTCTGACACACTCCCTGGTTCTTTTCCCGTTACCTGCCACTTGTCTAGA